GGGATCAGCACTAGCCCTCATTTTAATATACATATAGAAAGTATAGAAAATACATATTTAACAATCTGTGCCCGTAGTTTAACTGCGTGAAATTTCATCAAAATCCGTTCAGTAGTTTTTAGGTAAAAGAGTAATGAACACCTATCTACCGATACTCACAAACTTTCGCGTTTATATTAGCAAAATTGTATTCCTTCAAACATAATGAAAAATGTTTAACAATAAGTAGACACAGGAAAAATCACACGGGACAAAATAAAACACAATTGGACTTTGCAAATTACTTAAAATTTATTTATAAAAGTAATCATTTAATAGGAATAATTGTAACATATATAAAAATTACAGACGCAAATAAAATACAATAGTAACTATTATTAAAATCGATAATAACTATCTATTTTGTCCACTTACTTTTATCAATACGTCGCCCCTTTTTACAAACGCACACAAAACGGAGAACAAATTGAGAATATGGATTTTACAATAATATACATTTAATTTATATTATTTACAAACGTAGCATACGCTTAGTTATACAATTCGGACAAATAAATAATTAGGTGCAGATTTTAAATATATCCAAACGTTACTAACACTGATCCTCCTGTGATACAAGCCTTGAGCTTGTGCAGAAATTGTTGTTTAAGCATTTTATCTATATTTATTGTTGTAAAAGTGTACAAATAAATAAATAAATATATATTTATTTTTTTCAAATATAGAATTGTTCGGGTAGAAAACGGAAATTGTTGTTTCTTTTTTAAATATATAACACTTTCAACATTAATTCCTGCGATACAAACCTTGAACATTAATGCAGGGATTGTTGTTTAAGTATTTTATCAATATTTATTGTTGTAAAAGTGTACAAATTAATAAATAAATATACACATTTTTTCAAATATAAAATTATTCGGAAAGAAAACGGAAATCAATATTTTTGTGTTTTCTCTCTACTTTAGTCAGTATTAATCTGTGTAGAGAAAATGAAAAATAAATGAGGCAGAAGCTTTAGTGCAGGGATTGTTGTTTAAGCATTTTACCCATATTCATTGTTGTAAAAGTGTAGAGATAAATAAATAAATGCATTTTTTTTAAATATAGAATAGTTCGGGGAGAAAAGTGAAATAATTATTTTTGTGTTTTCTCTCTACTTTAGTCAGTATTAATCTCAGTAGAGAAAATGAAGAATAATTGTAGTGCAGTAGGATGAGGCAGATGCTTCAGTGCAGGGATTGTTGTTTAAGCATTTTACAAAAAAAATCGGTTTAATTATTTATATCAGTTGTTGAGTACCTATGTATACCAGAAACTCTGCTTAGCTTGGTCTTGTGTAAATTTTTCTAGGTTTTTAATATTATTATTTAAATTTTGATTAAAATATTTATAGGTTATTATATAATTTAATAAAAACATTTTTTTATTGAAATCCACATGTCATTTTGTTCATTCATCTTCCAGCGACAATCTACAATATACATAGAATAATTCTTATGACAAAACAATAAAGTTCAAGATTGCTTGGCACGTAAATATTCGATAGTTACACAGACGGCACTAAATCTAAAACTGAAATATATTTTATAATTTGTTATAAATATTACTTTGTACAAAATATTTTTAAGAACTGAACTGAATAATAGTATATTACTAGATTTATAAACAAATAATTAGATAGGTCTCCTAAGAAACACGTATCATCTAAATAAATTTGAAGTTAAACTATTTTACTAATTGCAATCTTTATTTTTAATCTGTAGTTTAATACAGACAATAAATAAAAAACAATACAATGACAGTAAAATAATTTTTAGGATGCTTCCTGTGACACAGTGGTATCACGTTGCTAGAAGATAGAGTAGAAATTTTAATATACAAATGAATACTTCAAAAGTTTATGGTTTGTACAATAATATTTTCGAGTATATTTGATATAACTAAAACTAAACTTAATTAATATTTAAATATGTAATATCGTAATTTTGCAACATACTCTATAACAGGTACTTAGGCACGTCTTACAAATACCATAGTTTTAAAAACTGCATTTGTAAATATAGATAATAACCAACAAAAAAGTATTAATTTATAATTAGAAACAAACGTCAAAAAAGAGTAATCATAAATGCCCCTAATATAAACTAAAACTACACTATTATAAACAAAATACATAATTACAGACCAAAAAGTGAGAGTTTGTATGTACATAGGAAAAATGTTATAATATGCTCAATGCATATTTTGATTGTGTTGAATTAATTTGAAATTTGAACAATACAACAAAACAATAATACATCCAACTTTTGACCGTTTTTAAATTTTGACCCGACGAACAGTCGATCAACCTGTTCGTACGATCAGAATTAATCAACACAAAACAATAGTACATCCAACTTTGACCGTGATTAAATTTCGACCGTACGAACAGTCGATCAACCTGTTCGTACGGTCGAAATTTAATCAACACATATTGATCGAACAACACAATAAAATAATATTACATCTAATTTGACCATTTTAATGTCTAACCTAATTTTTAACCTAAGTTGAACTAATTAAATTTATGGTAACACATTACATCGATCGTAAATTATAATTTAGTATTGTATCAAACAAGAATTAATAGAATTTCGTAGTCCTCCGATATTAAAAGAATAATATATTGAGAACAAATCAAGAAAATAAAATATTAATAAAATTAAATTTTCTCGAATTATATATTACATACGCAATACGCAGCCCTATTGAAAAAATGCTGAAGAACAGAACTTGAACTTGAACAAGTCGAAGAATAAACAAGGCCGCAGTGTACCAAATTATACATAGTATAATTAGTTTGACTATTAATTGGAATACTGTTAATTTTCTATTAAATCTGTAAAACACTGACTACGATCTTGTAGCAACTGTGGTTTGCGTTACGAGTTCTAAGATTACATTAATTCAAACATTAAACGGTGCCACGTACAACGTACAAGTCGTAGTTATCAAGAATCTCTGTAGAATATTCAAATTAGTTTAATTTTGTTTTTTATGTCCGCTGGATGCGACTAAGGTAATTAGTATCATAACAAGCATCAAAGAATTTGTACAGTAGATGCTGTTGCAAATATAACATATGAAGAAAGTTTAGGAAGTTATAGTAATGAAAGAGCCTTAATTCAATAATAAAATGCTATTTATAGACAAAAAGAATCTAATTTCTTGTAAATTTGAGAACCCTTTTTTTCTTTCCTGCCCAGTGCCCGGTTGTGGCAATTTTTCTCAAACACTGTCTGTACATTCCACAATGTACAGTACTAATTTTTATGTAAAAGAATATACTAAAAATAATGGAAATATTAAACATAATTTTGTACCAAATTTTTACAATAACGCAGTATCAATTCCTCGCATTAAACTTAACAAATTAGATATAAATATTTCACGGAAACTAACTTACGCTATGAACGAAATTTTATGTGTATCATAATTAATTCAACTGCTAAATGTCACGCCTGATATTGTTCTCGAAATAATATCATCACCAAATAAGTCTGTATAAATTTGCTGTTCACGAGGAAGATATTTAACTGAAATTTTAAATTCATTTTATGTTTATTAATATTTCTATCGTTTACTTGCGAATTTTGTGCGTCAAATATTTTCTTGTTTACTAAAGAGATTGTGACAAAAATATTACTTGTGTCTTACATCATCTATTTCTATATATCACGAGTAATTCCAGAGTTGATATATCTGATACCAAATAAACGCCACTGTAATATTTTCCCTCCCACTGAGTACTCTAAAACCTATCTTAGTAGTGTCGTTAGTAATGAGGACTGCTCCATTGCTAGCGATATACTATGTGAGGTTGACCACCATACGACCCTTAGAAGTCACTGTTTGGGTTAATATAACTTCATTCTTATACTATCATCTGAACTGGTGCCTTGCCAACATCGAGCACTATTTTATAGTCATCTATTAAATAAATTCCTATATAGTTCATGCTCACCTTTGCTTATTTCATTATTAATTTCCTATCTTTTATCTGTATTTTAACTATCATTGTCATTACATCATCATCATCATCATCATATATTTTTTAACTCTGTAATTATATACATACAAATCATAACGATTTTTCCGAAATCATATCCAATTTACAAACTTAACTTAAAACTTCTAATGATTTTACATTAATAACATAAATAGATTTAGAAACAGAAATGGATTGCACAGATAATACTCATTTCATAGTTGCCTCTGGCAAGACTTAAAATGTAAGTCACGTAGAGTGTCACGCTAAATCTATACGTACATTTAGATAAAGTTAGACAGCTACTGAGCAACACACAGACAGTCCAACGGTCACTACATAGAAACAGCAACAATTAACTTCAACACAAACAGATACTCTTAGTAAATTAACAAAGGGCGATACGAAAGCTTACGTTATCACTGAATCTACTGATCTGATAAATTTTACAAAATTACATCTATTAGTGTATTTCTATATCGGCACCAACTCGAAAAGGAAAGAAAAGAAAGATATGAACGTTTATTTATTGATAAATTAGTAGTGTGTCTCAGCCTACATTCATCCATAATCCTAAAAGAATAATCAATATGTTATAAAAGAAATTATTTCTATTCTCTGAATTGCCTTGTGCGATATATATTAGAATAGTTTTCAATTATTTGGATATTGATTTTAGAATCTATATTTAATAAAAGATGGTCCATTTAACTCTGTGACAATCGTAGTTTTTCGAAAACGAAAAATTAAGAATTTCTTTCTATCATGGATCTCTACGTTAGAAAAAAATTCAATATTTTTTCAATTTAAAATTGGAAATGAATTATATACACAAGTACACAAATAAAATGGACTGAATAATCCAATTTAGTTTTTGAGATAACAATATGGTTGGCTTTATCTAGTATTTGAAAATTTGAAGGGATGCTGGTGCCGAATTAATATCTCACTGAAAATTCGAATATCTCCCAAACTTTCTAATCACATTTTGACTTACATCTACATACCTACACGCAATAAAACGGGCCCTTCCAAAAATTAACTAGCCATGTCAGACTTGCCGGATTCACTCTCCTCTGTTATGGTTATCAGCGGTGGTGGCTCGAAGATATTATCACCTGGAGAAGTCTCATTCATCAGCTTCTCAAATTTCGGAGATCCAGAAGGCAAAATAGCATCTTTGACCGATTCATACATATCGGTTCTTATAATTGGCAACGACGCTCTTTTCCCTTTAAATACTTCCTTAGGTATATCATCCTCTTGGATCGTTTCCATTGTTGAATTGTTATCTACCACATTATCTGGAACTTTTTCGTTTTCTAATTGAACTGGCAAACTATCAGCTCTACTTAGACCTTTCTTTGGAGATTCAGTTTTATCAGATATTGGTACAGCGACACCATTTTCTATCTTTTTTTCTCTTTGATCGTATAAATGTTGGAGGCTGTACTCTCGAGCTTGAACATCCGATAATAAGGGACCATCACTAGAACCCTCCATGCAATAACCCGGACCTTGTAAAGCATCATTGCCTATTATAGAATCTTGTTTGAAAATGGCAGCTGTCACAACGGGTTTATCATGATCTGTTGGTGTTTTACTTATCAAAGGTTCTTGTGAATTATCATAAACTATTCCTTCTACTTCATCTTTAGATATATCATAGCCCGAATAAAGTGGATATCCAAAAGGACCTTGTTCATAGCCGACTTGACTTCCATAGGAGTAGCTTACATTATGGGAACCAATAGAAGACATACTCAAATCTGATATGGACAGTCCAGTGCTAGACAAAGCTAACGCCTTTTCCCTTTTAAATTTAGCGGTTACTTCTTCATCTATCTTCTTATCTAACTCCTCGGGAACCCGATGAATGAGAGCCTGGTTTGTAGATATTTGAGGGTCATGAGGTGGGGAGTTCTGAAGTGATTTATTGTTGTTGGGTCTGTAGGCAGTTGATTGTTGGACCTCAACAACAAATATACCGTCGTTGTCTGGGGAGTACTTCATTTTCGTTTCTCGTCCATTTTTAGTGATATCCTGTAATGTAAACAAATTTTCATTATTAAACCTTTACTCTATTATAAACCATTAAAGAATGTATTAAACCGCACAGTTTAATGGTTACTTTTTATTTAAAATATAACAGTGATCTTCAAATTGCTATTACACTGCGGTGCATTGATCTTTCCATTTCTTTCATTGTACCTATTCTTTCTTTATGACTTGGTAATATAGAGAATTGGCCACAATATTTCTTTTGGCCTCACTTAAGATAATAATATTATGCGTGTCAATTTTGACAACACTCCGATAAACTTCGGGGGATGGTAATAGACTGTTATGTTAAATTAAAGCTAAATTAGCGAGTGTAATCTTAGGGTAAACCTAAACAATACTTTGATAGACTACAAAATGCCTCTGACTATCCATTTAGAATTACAATTGTGAACGTGAACATTTAATTACATCCCACATTAATTTCACGCTCTAATTCGGTACAAACAAAGGTGACATGACACAGCTGCCTCCAATCTCGATATTCTCTATCGTTTCCTTGCTTCTACAAGATATATCAGACTGAATAATCATTAAGCTAAACCACTTTCACCAAGAACGAAATTGTAATTAAATGAAATTAAACATGAAAATGAAATTAAATGAACTTTACATATTAAAGTGATCACCAGATCCCTTATTTGTAGATATGAAAATTTTGAATAGTACTTCATAACTGGCGTCACAAATTTAGATTATTTTGTTCATGTCTATAAACGCATCACTTTCTATAAGGTGGGTCGTTGGCATCATTGCCGTTTCAGTTACTGGAAAATAAATATTTATTTTTATAAAGTTTATTTTATTTATATTTATTTTACCCAGCATTGATGAACCCACAATTAAAATGTCTTTATTCACAACTAGTAAGAATAATGTTCGTCCCTAATGTTCTACTACTAGATGATTAGTTAAAACTTCACTTACATTTCTCTCTTCAGTCTCAACGATAAGATGGTTGTTTTTCAGGGTCATGGTGAAGATGGAGCCATTTGCTGGAGCTGCGTCGCCGTTCTCCAGACCAGCACCACTGCCGTCATCCGTCGGTGACTTCAGCTGTTGGTTAAGAAATTCATGCAGTTAGTTTTTGTACCTAATCTTGTCCCACTATAGCGGTCATAATGTAAATGTACAATTTGTTCAAACATGTTATATTTATTTATTTTGATATCAATAAGATTTTTTTAATACATCATTCACCCTTGCGGTCATAGATAAAATCAGTGTTTTGCTCCTTGCGTGATTCTCTGCACTGAGCTATAAGCCATTTAGTATTGCTGTGGCATGCACACACATATATGTTATTATATTATATAATCTAAATATTCTGTAATTCTATAGTGTCATTGGGGACAAACGAGCTTGCGGCTCACCAACGGTAAGTGATTACTGCCGCTCATTAACTCCGACAACACCAGGGAAATTGCAAGTACGTTGCCGTCATTCTAAGAACGAATACGCTCTTGAAAGTTTCAATATCGTATCGTTTCGGAGATACCATTGCTGGAAGGTGATTCCACAATGTGATTGTGCGTGGCAAAAAGTTTCTGGAAAAACGTACGTTGGAGGAGCTAGTATATTTTGATTGCGGTGTCATTGACACAAATTGGAGGCTGTGAACATCAATGAGTCACTGGAGCTGAGGTTGGTGCAGCACAAAGAACATCACTATTTGCTGACTTTTGGGTCTGCTAATGACTCGTATTGACGAATCGTTCACCTTCGCCCACACAAGGGATGTGGCGCAAGTCATGAGCGGTTTCAACATCTTATTTGTTTTAACATTTAATTATTAATTTATTAAAGAAAAACCAAGGTTAATACACATATTAAACCAATATAAAAACATACAAAGCCACTGATAGGCTTTCACAAATAATTATAACGGTTCTTATAGTGAAGCCTCCTGACACAGACATTTTTTAATTCCATACCGGCGCCCCCGGGCGCCCCTCCGATCGATCCCCCGTCCAATTCAAGCGGGGATCGAAATTACGACGGCCTGAGCCGAAGTTCGAACCCCTAGTGGTGCCCTCAGACTAAAGTCGCATCCGTCAGGCAGGTGTTGGCGTTGAGTAGGGCCCGCTTGCGGGCAACCGCCGCTGGGGTCGCGGTTGATTGCCAGCTCGATCCCGTGACCCTGGCACTATGGCGGCGTGGAGGAATATCGTGAGTAGGAGTCTCACAGTACCCATCCGTCCAACCCCTGAGACGGCCGGGTCTGAGGGATTTTCCCAGCATAAAAAAAAAGGAGTTGGCCTTCAGCCGCTCCATAAGTTCTTCCGCGAGTTTGGGGTTCGCGCGGGGTGCCATCTGCACTCGCCCCCTAACGTCCGGTGAAGCTGTAAAGGCTAGCTACGGCCAACAGCATTAGAGTAGTCCGAAAAAAAAACATTTTTATGCTTAAAAAAGGCTTCAACAACTGTATAAAATTTACTAAAGATTGTTGATTTACTTAAACAAACTTGTTAGGATCGTGACCCAATCACTGGATTGAACTACACCAACCGAAGGTATTGGCATCAGATCGACATTACATCCCAAGAATGGTTAGAGAGGCGATTGAAATACAGAAATATAAAAATTTGACGGCCTCGGTGGTCTAGCGGTCTAGCACACCGCTTTACGACCGATGGTCGTGGATTCGATTCCACGCACGGCACAAACATTTGTATTCATGAGTATGATTGTTTGTATCGGTCTGGGTGTTTTCTATGTATAATATGTATGTATTTACAAAAAAAATATCTATGTATATGTACCCATAACACAAGCTTTAGCTAGCTTATCTTGGGTCTAGATGGCGCTGCGTGAATTGTCCTGAGATTATTATTATTTTTATTATAATTTCAACCGGGAAGATGGCTATAGACTTTCTAATGCTTGGAATCCAGTGATTGGTTTAATTAAACAAAAACATAAAACGCGATCACAAAGTGTATTACGTGAAGATACTGTGAGTATAGTTTGCCGAGATGAATATCGAGCGAGTTCCAATAGTAGCAACAAACGAAGACGTGTGAAGGTAGACGAATATGTCTGCCTATAAAAGATTTATTTACCATCTACCCGCTGCTCTTCAGTTTACCCGTGATCATGGCCGTTGAAACACTGCCGAAATATCGGGAACAAAAATAAAACGTGGTAAGATTCCGTGATTTACTAATTATATTTACTTAAACAAAGTTTCGTAATCGAATCAGAAATGAGGAGATCCGCAGAAGAACCAGAGTGACCGACATAGCCCGAAGAATTGCGACTCTGAAGTGGCAATGGGCAGGGCACATAGCTCAGATCAGACAGTAGGATAGATGGGCGTTGGGGCATTAAAGTCCTCGAGTGGCGACCACGGAACGGAAGACGCAGCGTGGGAAGGCCTCCAGCAAGGTGGACCGACGATCTGGTCAAGATCGCTGGAAGGCATTGGATGCTAGCAGCGCAGGACCGATCGTCGTGGAGATCTTTGGGGGAGGCATATGTCCAGCAGTGGACGTCTTCCGGGCTGCGATGACGATGATGATGATGAAACAAAGTTTAAATTTTGTTTTTTTTTCAATTTTTTATTACTCCAATGATCTGGCGGATTCTATCCCCGTAAACTACAGTTATTAGTATTCATGATTGTGTATGTTTCTATTGGTCTGTGTGTTTCCAAGTGACTGTTTTATTTATCCTGTATATATGGCGAATGTTCCCAGAAGGATTAATGTATCATTTCATATTTTTTTAAAAAAAAGAGGGGAAATCACATATAACAGCTTATTTTTTCATTTTTTGGCTATGAAAATAGAAAATAATAAAAATTGTATTTAATTCTTTTCTATATAATATATAATACTATATAGAAAATACAATAATACTAGCTGACCCCGCAAACTCCTATCCGCCTCAAAAAAAGTTTAGTTATGTAATTAATTTCTGAATGCACCCTGTTTGACTGGTATCAGCAGTTTGTATGGGAAAATAAAATTGTTGTTTTTACTATTTCACATGTAATTTCTTATATTTTATCACCGTTTAAACCTTCTCTGGATTTCTACGAATATTTTAAGACTAAGATTAGCCAAATCGGTTCAGCCATTCTCGAGTTTTGGTGAGACTAACGAACAGCAAATCATTTGAATATATATAGCTTAATATATACTTGATGGACTTAATGTCATGAATACAAGTTTGTGTGCAAAAGAATAAATAAATAAATTACTAAAAACAAAATCGCTATCTCTTCTACATTGCACACAAGCAAAACCTCTAACTACCATTACGACATGATCCCCAAATTTCCATATAAATCCGCTTTTCTCACCTACTCACGCACTGTTTAGAGGGACGTGGAAGCTCAAGAAAACTGGTCCTCTACACACATAGAAATTCCTTGAATAAGTTTATATACAAGTACCTATTCAATCCCATCAGGATCAGTTTTGATTTTGCGAATTGAACGCTATGATAATTACAGTAGGGTCGCAATTTAATTTGGACTGTTTGGGTTGGAAAAAAAAACAATGAGGGATACTCGACATTTCTGACAGCTAATGAACCGTGACCAGGTGTGAACAACCTGGACGAAGGATTTATAATTAGTTAATCAATCAACGCTATAAAGAATTCAAGTCAGGAGACACAGTATATGTATTTCGCAAAATAAATTTACTACCAAAGATTATTTGACGGACTCGGTAGTTTAGCGATTTAGCACACTTCACTTCCGATGCTCGCAGGTTCTATTACAAACTCACGATAGAAACATTTGTATCAACGAGTATGACTGTTTATATCGATCTGGGTGTTTTCTATATATATTATGTATGTATTTATATCAGTTGTTTAGTGCCTAATATAATATAAGCTCTGCATAGCTTAGGACTAGCTGGCGCTGTGTAAATTCTGCAATAACTTTATTATAACTATATTACTTTGATAAAACATATAATCATATATTTACAACTGTATGTAGTTATCGTATTCGCGACACTTTCTGGCTCCATACCTCGAGTACACTGCAGTACCGGAAAAAAAAAATTATAATATATAACCTTGGACAATTAACACAGCGCCATCTAGTCCCAAGCTAAGCAGAGCTTGTATACTGGCACTAGACAACTGATATATATATATATATATATATACTTAAACACACAGATAACACCCAGACCGATACAAACAATCATACTCATGAAGACAAATGTTTGCACCGTGCGAGGAGTCGAACCCGCGACCATCGGAAGTAAAGTGTTATGGTTGAGCAACACTTCTTTAGACAAATTTGTATGTTAATATAAATTTTCTATAGTAAATTGTAATTAACGTCGTTTTAAATTAATTTAAATATATTTCATCTTATCTCATACTGTATACACATAATATAATAATTTCAAGACAATTCACGCAGCGCCATCTAGTCCCAAGTTAAGCTAGATAAAGCTTGTGTCACGAGTTCTAGACAACTGATAAAAATACATAGATATATATTTTTTCGTAAATACATACATAATATACATAGAAAACACCCAGACTGATACAAACAATCATACTCATGAATATAAATGTTTGTACCATGCGAGAACTCGAACCCGCGACCATCGAAAGTAAGACGGTATGCTAAACTGCTAAACCAACGAGGCGTCAAATATACTGTATTACTATTTGTTAGTCCTAATAAATGAAAAACAAAAAAAACTTCCATTTTTCGAAGTCGGTTAAAACATATGCCGAGATAAATATTGTAAGTACCAATTGGCTGCTAGATGGCAGTTAGGTCTAACGTCGGCGGGGTCGTCGGCCGGTCGACGCCCGCGCATTTTCGGCGCGTCTTTTTTCTCGTGGCTCGTTGCAATCGGGTTGCACTTTTTAGATGCACCTACTTGCTGTACGACTATCTAACGGACACAAGGGTGGGGTGGAGTCGACAATAATTAATATTCTGCTTGTAGAGAGTGACTGCCAGTCAGAATGGAGGTGTATTTCAGCCGATATAGAATTCGTTTCGCGGGTTTGAAGTACCATCTGTTCTTAAGCCACTACAGAAATCCTTTCAAGATTTTGGTGCGTGCACC